TTCCAATCCCTAACGGTCTGTGATGCTGTGATTATTTTTTCATCTGTATATTTTATGTCTAAAATGTCAGTTATTTGCCTCTAACTGTAATTAATAGCATGATCTACTAAGGTTGGTTTTTTTCCCAAGAGGAATTCAAACAGGTTTTTCTGTTTGTAAGAATTTAAAATCCAATTTCTCTGTATTCCACTGTTTAACCACCTCATAACTGCATTTCTTTCCTACATGTAGGAACTGCTGATAACCAGACAGAGCAAGTCCTTAATGAAACGTTGAACTATCAAAATGTTCAATACCTGATAATTCCAAAGAATTTGTCCTGGAATGATGCAATGGCTGCATGCATAAATAAGCAGATGCAGCTGGTCAGCATCACAGATCAGTTCCAGCAGGCTTTTCTCGCTGTTCAGGCCGCCCTTCGCAATTACCCGCTGTGGATCGGACTCTTCAGCAGAGATGTAAGTTTTGTTTTCTCCTCAGACTGTGGCTCAAGGTAATTTTTAGACTTCTGTGAAATGGAGACAGGGATGAAGAAATGCAACGAAAAATTAATTTCTAGGGTAACTGGGCCCCTCAGTTCAAGAAGGATAGGAACTGCTGGAGAGAGTCCAGCGTAGGGCTACAAAGATGATCAAGGGAGTGAAGCATCTCCCTTATGAGGAGCGGCTGAGGGAGCTGGGTCTCTTTAGTTTGCAGAAGAGACTGAGGGGAGACCTCATTCATGTTTATAAATATTTAAAGGGTGAGTGTCACGAGGATGGAGCCAGGCTCTTCTCGGTGACAAACAATGATAAGACAAGGGGTATCGGACACAAGCTGGAACACAGGAAGTTCCACTTCAATTTGAGAAGAAACTTCTTCTCAGTGAGGGTGACAGAGCACTGGACCAGGCTGCCCAGAGAGGTTGTGGAGTCTCCTTCTCTGGAGACATTCAAAACCCGCCTGGACGCCTTCCTGTGCAACCTCATCTGGGTGTTCCTGCTCCGGCAGGGGGATTGGACTGGATGAGCTTTTGAGGTCCCTTCCAATCCCTAACGTTCTGTGATTCTGTGAACTGTTTTCATTTAGGGATAACCAGCTGTAACTGTTCTAAATCTTCAGTTCTCCAAGTCACGTAGTCGTTGAACTCCACTGGATGGATTGATGATGAGACAAGATTATAGGATGAAGGGATATATTGTAGGGTAGCAGCAACATAGATCGCTAAATCATCTTTATCTCTTTGGTTAATGAATGAGTAATTAGTGTTGCCATTTAATATTGTCACTGGTTATAGCACCACTCTAGAAAGACAAATCAAAATCTGTTTTAAAAGAGAGAAACTGAAAGTGGCAAATAAAATAAAAAAAGGAATCACTCAATACTTCCAGTGGTGTGTGTGTAAAACTTCACTTAGACTCTCTTGTTACTTCATGTTGTTTGTGCCTGTGTTTTGGGTTAGAGGGAGACATCCCTGAGACAGGTTAGTGGGTTTTTCTTCTTTCTTCTGTTTGTTTTGTGTTTGGAAAAGTCAGTGCTTTGCCTTTATTAGCCAGAGGGTGTCTTGAAGATCCTCACTGTAGACTGAGAGATTTCTCAGCTGTTAATGAAATGGCTTGGGCTTGCTTGCAGTGTTGATTTTTTTTGTCAAGCACACGAGAGTCTTGAGGTAATTGCAAGAAAAAACTCAAATAAATTTTAACAAGTGCCTTACCTACAGAGGTTATGGGTGCTCACTCAGCATCTGTGGTGTTACAGTCTCCCGATGTCAGTGTTGGGCTACTGAGTGTAGGCAAAGTAGGAGGGGGAAATAGGAATTTGAGTATCTGCTTTACAGAGAATGTTTTTAAAAGGAATCAGGCATTCAAACTTAGTGAACGTGGGGAAACCAGAATAACTCATTTTCCCCTCTCTTTTGAATCTTTATCTGTAAGTGATTCATTTTGCTGCATACAACTCAGGCACGCACTCGCTTTTCACTATTGCAGCACTTCATTACCCAATTAAAAAGTCACATGAAAGGAAATTAAAATGAAACTGGTCAACAGGACTTGTTACTCCAGTGCTGGAATTATAGACACAAAACAAAGATACAAGATAAATTAAATTACAAAGCAGTAGGGGTAGTTCCTGAAGAAAATATTTAAATGTAAGATTCTTAAAGGATGGTTTGCTTGCTATGTGTGGGTTTTTTCTTATTCCTCCTGCGTCCTCCAGAGCACAAACACATCTGATTTATTAAATCAATAACATATTTAATAGACTACTTTCAGCTCAGTGTGGAGTGACTGAGACTGGGCCTTACTCTCAGAGGCTATCAGTTTTTCAAGACCAGATAATTATATCCACTGTTGATTTGCAGGTGCAGATGATGTAATTTGGACATCTCATTGCCAGGCCTTCCTCCATAAGGATAGTAGTTAAGCTTCAATATTTGGTAATTTGCCATCCACCTCAGCTAATTCATATTTTTGCAACTGCAAAACTTGGAATAATTAAGCTTGTTGCGATCTGATCTGCTGCTCGTAGTGGAAGGGCAGCAAAACACTTACAGCTCTCACTGGAGACACTAAACGTCTCGCCAGTGTAAATACATTGCCACGTCATTTGCTGTTCCTAGTATTTTTTACTACATAAGCTCATCCCTTCTGTTTACACAATGCTAGGGTGGAAAACACTATGGCTGGCTGGATGGGAAACACGTCAGTTTTAGTCGCTGGTCTGAGGATGATGTAGAAACAAGTGAAGAATGTGTGTTTTTGGATACTGATGGCTTCTGGAAAACGTCTGACTGTTCCTCTGAAAATCGAGGTGCTATTTGCTACGCATCAGAAAGTACGTATCCTAGCATAATACTTATAAAAGCTGGATTTTGTTTTGTTATGAAGCGTAATTGGTAATTGCAGATTGCAACTTCAGAATTACAGCTTTTCTAATTCACGTTTCCTCAGACAGGCTGATCTGCGTGCCAGGGGAAAAAGAAACTTCAAACAGGAGTCCGTGCACCCGTTGGTCTTCATCCACATGTTACTTGCAGATGAATTCAACAAGGGTGCACTGGGCCAGACTGTGCCCTTCACGCTGTTAACCCATTGTACCTTTTCACTGTTCCTGTGAGGCTGTTGCGTGCTGATCTCCCCCACTTGCATGTAGAAGAAAACTCAGCTGCCTCTGTACTGTTTATATTTTAATACTGAGACCTCCTGAAATCCTTTCAGACATGGAAGTCTCCATGGGGAGGAGGTCCATGACTAAATGTTAAGATAGGTAGACACTGAATTGAAAGGTGTAAATGAAACTTGCCTGCAGTTTACAAAAAGCCTTCTAAATATATACCAATAGGCACAGGTAGGGATATAGTAGGACATCTTTTTTGGGGTGGATACATGTGTAATACAGCCCTTTTCTGAAAAATAAAAAAAAGTAATCTTTCTGAGAGTTCACCACAGTTTTTTTCCTTATGAGACCATTATAATTTGTTTTCTTTCTCTTCTGAGAGAGGACAGCTAAGCCATTGCTGTATGCACTGAGTCAGAGTGAAGTGTGTACTTGGCACTATGACGTCCTTAACTATATCGTGCTTGCAATCTGAGCAACTGCAGGAAGAGTCCTCCTCACTTCTCAAGCATTAGATAAAGTCACAGAGCTGCGATGTGCTGCCAGCCATGAAGTAGTTTATTAGTTACAGTGATCTACCTTCATATAAGAGGCAGCAGGAGCTTGCAGTTATTGATCCACACTTGGCACTTTTATGTAGCGATTTTATTCTATAACCTGTGTAACCTAACAGTTGTGAAAAGTTGCAAGCATCTGTTATTCTTCGATACTTACTTACTTGCTTACTTGCTTACTGCTGGTTTTGTTACTTCAAAAAAATGACCATCGTGAGGAAACTGAAAGCAAAAATGTATTACACATAAATGGCACTTAATTTGTCTTGCATGTTTTTAAATGGTACCTGAAAGTGGTTTGTGGTGGTGGTGTTAATAAGTTATGTCCTGAATGTCTTCTTTCCTTTCCTTAGGAAAGATTGAAAAAGAAGAAGTTACACAAGTTAAGTGCCCTCATAAGATTAAAAATACACCCTGGATATCATTTAGAAACAATTGTTACACTTTCATGATAACAAAAAACAGATGGAGAGAACTGAAGGCTCAAGAAGCTCATCATTTATGCAAGAAAATGAGTAAGTATTTGTCATGTTACAGGTATTTATGGACTTATATCAGCTTGAGGGAGATGAGTTTTAGATCTGAGTCACTGTCTTAGAATGGCAGCAAAGTAAGCGTTGAGAAAGGCTGCAGCATCTGGAGATGTGCATTAGTGTTGCACTGCCCAATGCTGTTTGCCCTTGCACTACTCTGATAAAAAGTGCCAGAGGATGGGTAGAAGAGTTTGAGAGAGAGATGGCCAGGGACAACTGAATTCTGAGATCTCAAACATTGGAAAGGTTTGGGGTTTGGGTTTTTTCCCTCTTTACAATATGCAAATTTTAAATAGCTTGGGTAATTGTCATCCCCTTGGCAACATTCTGGCTTTCAGTCACATTTACTTCGTGGGGTTTTTTTTTCCCCTTGCTGCGTGGAACGCTTCAGTGAAGAAAGTAAACAGACTGAGAATAGTCCAGAAAATTCTGTGGGCTTTTCCCATCCATCCTGAACAAAGTGTAAGCTTAGGAACAGCCTCTCTCTTACATTAAGCCATTGCTCATGGCACTTGAGACATCCATCTTTCCAGAAACGGTTTTTATTTTTCATTAATTCATTTCATTTTTCTTTATACTGTTTCTCTACTAGGCAGTTCAAGAAAATCAGGAAAGATTGCTGGTATTTTTGTTATATGCAGAGAATTTTTACTACATACAACTCGAAGTGACAGAAAAACCCACAAATATCTCTGGAGTTGATGTGTTTCACTTAGTCCAAAACCAGGGGAAGCAGTGTTGCTAATACCTTTGACAATGGTTTTCGTACTGTTTGTTTAGTTATTATGTTATAAAGGTCTAGCCTTTACACATTCTTGACCCATCTGTAATAATTATTAACAATAATAGCAAAAAGAATTGTATGACTTTGTAAGAAAGTAACTGAAAAAAATTTCAACAGACCCAGAAGCGTTTGTTCTGAGCGTCCGAGATGAAGAAGAGAACAACTTTGTTACTGAGCAGCTTCGTTCCTTCAGTGGTCTGGCGATGTGGGTCTGGCTGGGTGTGATTTATGATGACAGTGGTAAGATCTAAGTTGTTCTGGTTTTTTCTCTTAATCACCAGATTGGAGACCAAGTTTGCAGCATTAAGTGCACGTTTGTTGCATGTTTCAGTAGACAACTGAAGTCAAACTGAATACATACCTGTAATAACGCTCTATATTTGTACTTATCTTCTGGAAGGAAATTTCCAGACATGCTTTCTGTTTGAGTGATAATTAGATCCAGTATGTTCCGTCCGGCCTAGATTTGATTTCCCTGGAAAGGAAATCTTAAAAGGGCCTGGATAAGTAATGCTCACATATTTAGCATTGTAGATGGAACTGATTTACAGTAACGTAGAGCATCACTGCATTTTTTTCAAAGTGAATATCTGTTAATGGGATGAATATATTCAAAGTTAAATGGGACTTGTACACATTATGCCAGTTTTTAAATAAACATGCAATGTTTTCCACAGATAAAGTTCTCAAGTGGTATGATGAAACTCATCTGACTTACAATAACTGGAGGCTGGGAAGACCTAACATAAAGAAGAACAATTTTTTTGCTGGTGTAAATCTTGATGGCTTTTGGGATATTTATAATTATTCTCAAAGTTGGCATGCTCACCACTATAATGTGTACAGTATTCTCGCCTGTAAAATCGACAGGGGTAAGTAGTAGAGAAGGTTTATGTGTGGTATTGGATGAGGGTCACAATTTAAGTACTAGTTCTGCAATACGTGCTATATAAGGCTTTAGTTTTCCTCCCAGTGAAATGCATGGCACAGCTGTCGTGGGCTCCTGGAGGTACAGGGTCAGTCTGTGCATCCCTGCTGTAACACTCTGATGCAGGTGTTTGTCCTGAACACTGTAATGCTTGAATTGCATTGATACCCATGGATTGTAATGTGTTTGTTGTATGTTCCCAGTAACACAAATGAAGTTGTTGTCGTCTTATTCTTTGAAACAGGACCCCAGCAGCACAAGCCTCCATTGCCTGAGTCTATTCCACACGGAAACAGAACATACAGGATCCTTCAGAAGAAGTTAACGTGGTACGAGGCACTGAGAGAATGCAAACAAAATAGGAGTGATTTAGCAAGTGTACACAGTGAATCACAACAGTTATTTCTAGAAGACATTGTCAAGCAGGATGGCTACCCTCTGTGGCTTGGGTTATCAGTTCATGATGTAAGTATAGACTGTTGGTAATCCCATTAACAGAGCTTGCAAATCACTTTCTGCATGGGACATTAAATATTTTCAATGCTTTTTTACAGTTCCTTGGAATTTTTATTTCCATGTAGTAAACTACCTACTTTTCCAACAGACTGCAGCATACGTTAAAGTATATTATATTTTAGTATATGTAGTCACACTGACATGTTTTTCCAAATCCTTGAAATTTTAAACTAATCTAAAGGTCATGCTTTGTAGCACAAGGAAGTGCAGTTTTGCAGTGCTGCTTTTAGAGACTCCAGATTGATGGCCCTCTGTAGGATCAGATCCCATTAGCAAATATGGTCAGACAAGGCTACATGGAGTCCAGGTCAGGACTGGCTTCCCAAGGCAGTTCAGGAACTGTCTCTCTAGCAAGTTGTGTCCCTTCTCCCAGGAAGCTCAGCAAGAGACAGCTGTAAATCCTCCTCCTCCTCCTCTGCCTAACCTTGGAGCCAAAAGCCTGTGGCCCCAGCCCTGCTTCTCACACTGCTCCCCAGACCTGGCCACTGTAGTTAAGAGTAGCTCCCTGCAGAGAGCTGTGCGATTTTTTATGCATACCTCTGCTACCTCTGCCCATCCTTTGGTCTGAATGGGTCCCTCCACTTCTCACAGCTTGACCCTTCACTGTCAGGGGTTTCCAGCAGTGTGCCTGAAGTAGGAGCCATTCCTGAGCTGGCCAGCGTTGCTCACTGAGGCCGTCTCGACAGTTTAGCAGTTTGCAACATACCTAGCAAGGAAGGCAGACTGCTTAAATGAAAGATCAGGATTAAATTAAATGAAACGGTCCCCATAGAGTAAAACAAGGCACATGTAAACTTACAAACATGACGCCCTTTCTCAGTTCCCACAAATAAGCAGGATTTCTTTGTTAAGAATTGATTGGAAAACACGAACTACATTGTACATGCACTTAGTATAGATTTAGCAAAAGAGGCCACCTGCATTTTAGTGGTATTGCTACATGACTTACTAATGACTGACAAGATTTAAACCACAACCATATGCTATGGCTTAAAAGTTGTGGGTTTTTTCTTTACTTAGGGAAGTGAAGCCAATTTTGAATGGTCAGATGGAAGCGACTTTGACTACTACCCTTGGGAATTGGAAAACTCAAATACTACTGAGAACTGTGTTCTCTTGGACACTAAAGGATCTTGGAACCGTATAAGGTGTACAAATGTGGCTGAAGGTGCCATTTGCTATAGCCCTCCAAACAGTAAGTGTTATTTTAAATATTTTGTGTGGTTGTCTTGTGTATTCTGTCTTTATATGTTGTATTTAGAACTAGAAGTAAAGGCTGAAATCCTACACATGATTCCCTCTTTAACAAGAGTTGCCTATCGGGAAAGATCAGACACTTTTTAATGCTTAAGGGAGATTAATTCTCTCAATTTCAGTGGTGAAAATCTAAAACCATTTCGGTCGCTTTTTGATCACCTGTGATATGAATATCAAGCTGTATGTATATTTTCCAAATCAAAATCCTTATCAAACACACATACTAGACTTCAAAATTCCCTAAAATCAAGAAAAAGTTGGTTCCCGAGCCTATGGAACTTGTCTTATGCTCATTTTCAAATAAATTCATCTGTGACACATGAAGAAGGAATATAAGCTTATTCAATATATTTCAATATTCAATATAATTGAATCTTGGTAATACTTCCCATCCTGTTACTACAAAGAGAATATGCACAAACTCTTGCAGCAGATATAACGTCATTTTTTTGTCTTCGCAGAGAGACAATTGCAGCCAAAGCAAGCGAGCAGAGCCCCAGGATGCCCGCAGATTGGTGGTACCCTCCCTTGGGTACAGTATAAGGATCATTGTTATGCATTTGACATGGCTTTCTACAATTTTTCAGTGTATAATGTGGAAGACGCTAAGAAAGTCTGCCAGCAACTGAGTATGTTTAGACTCTAGCACATTACAACTTATAATTAGTCTACTATTTGAAGAGAAATAAAACCCAACAACCAAAAAAAAAACCTCCCCTGGTTATAGTTCAGGTTTTCAGCTTTTATGCTGCTTCAGTTTAGGAAAAGTAACAGCTTTATCTTTGAACATCTGGTTCAGGTGCTTGATAAAGCAGTCAGTGTGCTGATAGTTTGTTTGGCACGTGGGTACCTGCAAGTAAAATGCAGATAACCATTGATGGAAAGTTCAGTAGCTTAAGGCTTACAGTTCAGAGGAAACCATTTTATTTGCGTACAGTTAACTTTTTTAAAAATAAGAAAGCACTGCTGACAGCACTTTATTATATCCTTTCATTAGCTTCCTGCTATGGGAAGCTTGCTAACCTATAAAACAGTCCAGAGTACATACTTTATAGATATTAAGGCATCTGGTATCACTAAGAAACTTAATTTTATGTCAAATTAACGGATTTTCTCTCTTCTTTGATAAGCTAGGTGGGGAATTGTATTGTGGAAGATGATGTTAAGCAGTGTCACGTACAGAATCTTTAATCACCTTCTTAGCTTAGAAGCCAATCACTGTCATAACTTCTTTTTAGAGTTATGATAGGAACTTGAACTCGCTATGTAGGATGAAGAAGGTGCAAGTAGTCTCTGCCTTGGATGCAGTTTTCTACTGGGTCCTACCTGGCCTGGTAATTGAAAGATGAAGTGAACTCTCTCTAAATTAAGCTTCTGGCTTATATTTACAAAGAAAAGTTGTACCCATACTTGTCAAGAACGGGTACGCTCTTAGCCTGTCTCTAGTATACCCTCTCCTCCCTCACATTCCGTAGTTACTATAACACTGTATAAAAACCTGAGGCACCATAAGGGATTAATTTAGAAATTAACTTGACTCAGCAAAATGCTGGGCTTTTATTCAACTGTATTTTTGAAAAGGGCTTATTATTTTTACAAGACTGGTAATTCTGAATGGTGCATATATTTTGATATCTTCCATGTATTTAGTCCTCAGCTGCAGTAAGTTTACTCCCATTTTATTTTGTATGACCTGCTTGAATAACCAGTCACCTGAAGCCATCTTGTATAACATTGTGCTGTATTTTAGGGGGTAGGGGGTTTGTGTCTTTATTCTGAAAGTTACTTCAAGGTAATTTACAAGCCCAGATGAGCAAATCTTTTCCTGTAGTAATTGTTCCCATTAAAAAAAAATCAGTGTACAAGCACAGAGAAAAGTCTCTGAGTTTGCAATTCTAACCAGTTTCCTCTTCCCCTTAGATCCTTCAGCAACCCTTCTGACTATAGTGGATGCTGAAGAAAATGCATTTGTGAGTGCACACATAAAGGAAAATGATCTCATCACCAGGAATGTGTGGCTTGGCCTTGCTCAGAGCTCTAAGGGTAAGAAGTAGCAACCACGTATGAGCATGAGTTTCCTGTGGTAAACTAAATGCATAAACCCTCAAATAAGAGTATAGCTTTGTAGTGCTGATAGCCTACAGTAACTTCTGCCTGAGGCTGGCATCCCTTATTTAGCTCTATAAAGCCCTTTGGATTTCATTGCAGCTTACAGTTCCTGTTGTACACTGAAGATAATCAGGAGTCACTGAAATTCATTTTCCCCAACACTGTTATTGGTGCCACTGGTTAAGCTGCAAATGCCTCAAATGCTAAAGGTCTGGAGAAGAGGTGTGGCTAAAAGTTATATGTTCATATTTACTGCTTTTAATATATGGAATAGCCAGCCTGGTTTCTTTTAGCAACAAGGAAATCAATAGGTTGTGAATGACATTGTGTAGAGTGCTACACTCCATGTGTTTTGGTGATCTAAACTAAGTGACTTTTTTCCCCAGCAGATCAGTCCCTGAACTGGCTCGATGGTTCATCAGTTAATTACGTCAACTGGGAAAACAAAACTGCAGAGGTCAATGACAAATGCAGCGTCATCCTGTCCACAACTGGCACGTGGTCCAGAGTTGACTGCAGCCGTAGTCAAAGCAGAGTGGTTTGTAAAGCTCCTTTAGGTACGGCAGCACTGATTTTACCAGAGACATAAGTTTGTAGTGACTGTATTCACAATTTGCTTTTCTTGATGGGGAAAGCCTGTGTTCAAATAATGAAAGTGCAATTCACAAAAGAACTTATCAACTACCTCTGCCTAAGCAGGAGCCTTCCGTTGCTGTTTTGCAATAAAATTGCATTCAGAGACAAATCGTCTAGGAATTTACTTCTCCTGGCTCCCACTGTCCACTTAAAGGATAAGGGAGAGAACTGAAATTTCCACCTCAAAGGGAGCATAGAGTATTTGCTGCAGTGAGTCAGTGTAGGTAGAAACAGAGACACTTCTGCCTGTAAAAGATGCTGAGTAAGCAGGTGCTGCAGGTTGTGTTTCCAGCTCCTGAAAACGGTGCCCTGCAGCTCCAGAAAGAAGACTCAGTCCTCATGGTACTTCCTCATACTCTGTGCAGGAAGGAGAGCAGTTACCAGAGCATTAAGCAAGCAAGTTCCTGAGCTGCAGTGGCATCTTTCTGATTTTGTATATGTTTTCACTGAAGTGGAAATTCAGGAATAGATTTAACTTCATGCTGCTAAGACTTCAAGATCTTCCAAGGGAAGCATAATTCCCTTCCGCTCCAAGAGAGCCCAGGATCTCATTAGGTTTCTGAAGTATACAAACCTGGTAATGAGTGCAGCACTTACTAGGTTTGATCTGGCCTCGAGAGATCCCTTCCTACCTAAATACGGTTAGGAAATTAACAACAGAATGATCAGAAATAAGCTCATAGATGCTGATTCATATGGGAACCCAACTTCCAACGTGATGAAGTGAAAACTATTAATATGATGAAGCAGTTTGCCTAAACTTGGCATCTTGGCCTGTATTAAAAACAGTGTGACCAGCAGGTCCAGGGAGGTGGTCATCCCCCTGTACTTGGCACTGGTGAGGCCACACCTCGAGTCCTGTGTTCAGTTCTGGGCCCCTCACTATAAGAAGGATGTTGAGATTCTGGAGCGTGTTCAGAGAAGAGCCACAAGGATGGTGAGGGCTCTGGAGAACAAGCCTTATGAGGAGCGGCTGAGGGAACTGGGGTTGTTTAGCCTGGAGAAGAGAAGGCTGAGGGGAGACCTCATCACCACCTACAACTGCCTCAAGGGAGGTTGTAGAGAGGTGGGTGCTGGTCTCTTCTCCCAGGTGATGGGGGATAGAACAAGGGGAAACAGCACCAAGCTGTGCCAAGGGAGGTTCAGGTTAGAGATAAGGAGGAAGTTCTTTACTGAGAGGGTCGTCAGAAGCTGGAACAGGCTGCCCAGGGAGGTGGTGGAGTCACCATCCCTGGATGTGTTTAAGGAGCGGGTAGATGAGGTACTTAAGGATATGGTTTAGTGGGTAGACAGGAACGGTTGGACATGATGATCTCAGAGGTCTTTTCCAACCGAGCGATTCTGTGTGTGTGAACTAAATGCGTGCAGTATTAGTGCAGAGCCACCTGAGCATCAACCCCCTGACAAAATACTCTTACCAAACCGCTTAAAGCATAATTGTGGTTTGTTCTGTTACAGGTTCTAATCATACCGGGGTGGCTGTAGCGTTTGCCCTGCTAATTATCTTGGTCTTCATTGTGGGATTAGTGTGGTATCTGTATAAAAAGAAGCGTCTTCACTGGAGCACCTTCTCTTCAGTACGGTACCAAAGAGGAATGAACGATGATGAAGCGGATGATATGTTCACAAAAGATGGCTATTGAGAAGCTGTTCTTTCTGAGCAATTTAGCACGAACTTCACTGTGTGAAGCCATAAGGAATGAGCTACTTGATGTTTTATTACTTCTTTTTGGAAAAAGTAATAAGAAGGCTATTAACGGGGACTAAATTTTGTTCTTTTATACAAGTGCAATTTTTATTCAAGTCCACTATTTACATTTGGCCTCAGCCACGTAAGTTCCAAGATTTCTGGAGTTCCGGGATATTTTTAAATTCAGAGTGTTTTCTTTCTTTACTGGAAAGAGTTTTTAATAGAGTAATTAATGCCAACAGTACTTTATGCAACATCACTGTAGCAAATGCACTTAAAATTGCAACACAAGTTTTGTAACTTTGTACAACTGCCCATCCATAACTTCATGCCAAAGGATGTACCATTCTGATATGCTATAAGGGTTTTGCTGCTCGCATTGGGCTACCCTGTAGAAGCAACTTCTGTAATAAACAGTTACAAAGTTTGTTATAGTGGGAGAGAAGGGAGTTACCAGACAGTGAAGTATTCATTCCCATCTGACTAGAGTTTAAATTTTCCTGTTAAAGTGGAGGAAGATCATATTGTGATTCTCCCCCCACCATTCTGAATAAAGAGTTATAAAATAATAGTTATGGGAAATACCCTGCTTAAAGCCGTGCCATCTAGGAATGAATTAACTAAATGTAGAATATTTGAAGCAGGAGACTGTGGCTGGTCAAAACTGATTTTATGCCCTTAACGTGGTAGTGGGGCTAAGAAAAAAATACCCATTAAGGGCTAACTGCAAACACGAGCAGAACTCGAGATACAATAAAAGCCTTAGCCCTGTAAAACCAAAGGCATGAATGTTGTGTTTTATCCTGTGACAAAACTGCTCTTTAAGCATCAGTTTCTTTTCACAGCTCCTTTCACAAAGTTTTGAAAGCATAAATAAAAAAAATTACAGTGAAAATCAGTAGCTGGACCTAAGCATTAACTAAATCATATTAAATAAAACCTGCACTTGGAGTGGTATTTGGAGAAAGACATAACCCCATGCCATCTTATGTCTTCAGACTGCTCTGAAATTAGACCCGAGTTTATTTTCTGGTAGATCGAAACGCAGACAAGACCTGCTCCGTTTTATGGTGTGTTGCACTGTGACAGCCGAGGACAGGAGTGTTGCAGTTCCTGGTTCTGTGAGGAGATCCCCTAATACTCTTATTTATACTAGGATGAAATGCCTGACCCTATAGGTGAAATATGTCATCTGTCCGAGAAATAAGATAAAGATCTATCTAAGGA